CGGCCGTCTCCCACCAAGGCAGGGTGACCCAAAAAGAAAGAAAATCCCCAAAAAGAAAATACTTTCATCATCATTCAACACTTTTACCTCAATCACACAATCACTGTTTTTGCAGAGGAGCTCGGAATACAACAGTTTATAAGCATATACGTATAAAGATACACAACATATTACTCCAAACTGCTAATATCCCAAACCCCTCCTTTAAAGTGCAGGCACTGTACTTCCCATTTCCAGGACTCAATCCGGCTATATAAAAAAACTGGTTTTCCTGAATCTCGTCACTAAATATTACCCTGCCCACACTACAACAGTTCGTCAGGTCCCAAAAACCATTTGTCTCCATTCACTCCTATCTAACACTCACGCACGCTTGTTGGAAGTCCAGGCCCCTCGCCCACAAAACCTCCTTTACCCCCTCCCTCCAACCTTTTCGAGGATGACCCCTACCCTACTTTCCTTCCCCTACAGATTTATACACTCTTCATGTCATTCTACTTTGATCCGTTCTCTCTAAATGACCAAACCATCTCAATAACCCCTCTTCAGCCCTCTGACTAATACTCTTATTAACAACACCTTCTACTAATTTCCACACTCCGAATTCTCTGCACAATACTTACACCACACACTGTCCTTAGACAGGACATCTCCACTGCCTCCTCACTGCAGCAATTACAACCCAAGCTTCCCACCCATATGAGAGTTGGTACCACTATACTTTCATACATTCCCTTCTTTGCCTCCATAGATAACATTTTTTGTCTCCACATATACCTCAACACACCACTCACCTTTTTTCCTCCATCAATTCTATGGTTAACCTCATCCCTCATAAACCCATCCGCTGACACGTCAACTCCCAAATACAGTGGACCCTCGACCAACGATGGCATCATCTAACGTTAAATCTGACTAGCGATACATTTTAATGCAAAAATTTTGCCTCGACTAGCGCAAAAAAACTCGACCAACATGATTCGTTCCGTCTGAGACGCGTCCACTTGTGGCCAGTGTTTACAAGCCAGCCAGCCACCGCGGTCCCATCCAAACATACAATCGGAACATTTCATATTATCACAGCGTTTTTAGTGATTGCACCTGCAAAATAAGTCACCATGGGCCCCAAGAAAGCTTCTAGTGCCAACCCTACAGCAAAAAGGGTGAGAATTACTATGGATATGAAGAAAGAGATCATTGCTAAAGTATGAAAGTGGAGTGCGTGTCTCCGAGCTGGCCAGGTTGTTTGTACACAAAACCCCAATCAACCATCGCTACTATTGTGGCCAAGAAAATGGCAATCAAGGAAGCTGTTCTTGCCAAAGGTGCAACTATGTTTTCGAAACTGAGATCGCAAGTGATAGAAGATGTTGAGAGACTGTTATTGGTGTGGATAAACGAAAAACAGATAGCAGGAGATAGCATCTCTAAAGCGATCATATGTGAAAAGGCTAGGAAGTTGCAGGAGGATTTAATTAGAAAAATGCCTGCAACTAGTGATGTGAGTGAATTTAAGGCCAGCAAAGGTTGGTTTGAGAGATTTAAGAATCGTAGTGGCATACATAGTGTGATAAGGCAAGGTGAGGCTGCCAGTTTGGACCAAAAAGCAGCTGAAAAATATGTGCAGGAATTCAAGGAGTACATAGACAGTGAAGAAATGAAACCTGAACAAGTGTTAAATTGTGACACTGACAATGTTGTGAAACACTTTAGGAATGTCATAAAGGAACGGGAGGCACAGGCCTCTATGGACAGATATGTTGTGCGACAGAGGTCCAGTGATTCTCAAGCTGGTCCTAGTGGCATTGAAAGAACAAGGGAAGTAACCCTGGAAAAGGACTTGACACCTCAAGTCCTAATGGAAGGGGATTCCCCTTCTAAACACTAACACCATCCACAGTCTCCTCTCCTCCCATCCCATCAATCATCACCAGATCTTCAATAAAGGTAAGTGTCATGTAATTGTACATGTCTTCTTCAGTTTGTGTGTATTAAAATTAATATTCATGTGGTAATTTTTTTTTTTTTTCAATACTTTTGGGAGTCTTGCACGGATTAATTTGATTTCCATTATTTCTTATGGGGAAAATTAACTCGACTAACGATAATTTTGATTAACGATGAGCTCTCAGGAATGGATTAATATCGTTGGTCGAGGGTCCACTGTATCTGAAAACATTCACTTCTTCCACACTCCCTCTCTTCAATGTGATATCCAATTTTTCTTTATCTAAATCATTTGATACCCTCATCACCTTACTCTTATCTATGTTCACTTTCAACTTTCTACCTTTATACACCCTCCCAAACTCATCCATTAACCTTTGCAACTTTTCTTTAGAATCTCCAATAAGCACACTATCATCAGCAAAAAGTAACTGTGTCAACTCCTATTTTGTATTTGATCCTCATTTACTTCACATCTATAAATATATTAAACAACCATGGTGACATTACACATCCCTGTCTAAGACCTACTTTTACTGGGAAGTAGTCTCCCTCTCTCCTACACACCCTAACCTGAGCCTCACTATCCTCATAAAAACTCTTTACAGCTTTTGGTAACTTACTACCTATTCCATACACTTGCAACATCTGCCACATTGCTCCCCTATCCACTATCATATTCCTTTTCTAAATCCACAAATGCAATGAAAACTTCCCTACCTTTATCTAAATACTGTTCACATATGTGTTTCAATGTAAACACTTGATCTACACATCCCCTACCCACTCTAAAACCTCCTTGCTCATCCGCAATCCTACTCTCTGTCTTACCTCCAATTCTCTCAATAATTACCCTACCATACACTTTTCCTGGTATACCTAATAAACTTATTCCCCTATAATTTTTACAAACTCTTTTGTCCCCCTTCCCTATGAAGAAACTATACATGCTCTCTGCCAATCCCTAGGTACCTTCCCCTCTTTTATCATTTATTAAACAAAAATAGCAACACTACATCGCCCCCTGCTTTTAACATTTCTGTCATGATCCTGTCAGTTCCAGCTGCTTTACCCACTTTCATTCTATGTAATGCCTCATGCACCTCCCCCACACTCACATCCTGCTCTTCGTCACTCCTAAAAGATGTTATACCTCCCTGGCCAGTGCATAAAATTACCGCCTCCCTTTCTTCACTGACATTGAAAAGTTCCTCAAAATATTCCCGCCATCTACCCAATACCTCCAGCTCCTCATCTACTAACTCCCCTACTCTGTTTTTAACTGACAAATCCATTTGTTTCCTAAGTTTTCTTAACTTGTTCATCTCACTCCAAAAATTTTTCTTATTTTCTCCCACTCTACCATCTGCTCTTCTTTTGCATTCTCACCACCCTCTTCAAACTCCTTCCCTTAATTTAGTCACATCTGTTGTTCTTATTAAAGTCACCTACTCAAAATATTTATGAAAATCATGGACTTCATAGCCAAATGTCAGTGTTAGTAATCTAATAAAATGCATTCACCTTTCTCAAAACATTATGTTACCTAAGTCTTCTCTTGGCTTCTAATCATTCCACATGCAGAGGTCGGGAAACATTTTCTCTACTGAATATACTGTATGTAATAACTATTCTACATATCAAGCTTAGTTTTAATAGCTTTTTAATTATATACTATATATAAAGTAGCATAATAAATCTGAATTTTAAATTTCAATAAAATTAATTCTGAGTCTGAAATTTACACTTGAAAATTTTTATGTGGTAAATGATAAAGCCCTAGCCTTCACAAAAATTGGCATTATCTAAAGATTGACTAAATTTTCTAAACAAACATTACCTGAAAACAGACTGCCAAAGTATGGTGTACAGTGGCTTTTAAGGTGTCTTCTACTTCATTGGTATATGTTTTCTGTACATCCTGAAAGTGTGGTAGAAATCAGCACTCCACACTAAAGTGAGGGGAGCAGAGCTCACACCACTCTGAAAGGAACAGGTGGTGTGTCAGAACTGGACGAGATGGGGTGTTGAATGTGGCTGAAGGGGTGCTGCCACAATGGCAGGGATCCTAGTTAGCTGATGAAACACTCCAGGGCTGAACTGTCTTCTGCCACAGCAAGCCGGCCAGGCGAGATGGATAACGTTGGGGGGGGAGACTCGGCAAGCAGTCCCCGAGGCTCCTGCAGACTCTTGAATAGCACCTGTCATGGGCATCAGAAAGTGCACTAAACTGCCTGGACTTGCAGCTACCACCACTGGGCACTGTTAGCTGCTGAAGTCCAGGCAAAATGGCACCATGTGCACATCACATGGGCTAACATCACTCATCATCACTTCACACTCCACACTACAAACAGATACAAAATACACATCTTTAAAGCCGCACCATTTTCCCATACGTTAGTATGATATTTCACATAAAAAACCCGAAATCACTCCGCGGAAACTTCTTTTCTCGAACGGGCATACGAGAGCGTACAACACAACACCGCTGTAAAATTCTTGGTGAGCAACATCCACCACCATCCTTTTTGCTGTATGATGATTTAGCCAAATGAGGGTGACAACTTAGTATAATGACAAAATAACTGTTAGGAGATAAAAGATTGGAAAGGTGAAAATAATTCACAAAAAAAAAAAAAAAAAAAAAAAAAAAAAAAAAAAAAGTCAACCACCAAATGAAAAAAATCGACTAGCCAACAATATTTATATCCCCAATCTCCCTAAAAGTATACGAAACGAATTCTTTATTCTGTATCTAGATTGTACCTTATGTTAGTATGAAGAAAAACAATTAATTCCACCAATGATAGTTAACTTTTCAGCATTTACAACCAGTACTCTCAGTATGTTAAAAAGAGACAACTACTCTACTTGAGTGAACTTTTTTAATCGCTAAATCACAACAAATGCTTACAAGCCTTGACTGCAAACTACCGGTACATACTGGATGGAATGGTTACATACTAGTCTAGTCTAGTTAATGACAAAGTCTTCATCTGTTGTCATGCATCTCAACCAAAAAATGTAAGCAAATGCATATTCTTAAAGATTTTTGTATTGCTTTATGAGGTTTGTTTTTCAATTTACCATATATAAATTTCATAGCCAATAATCTCTTAATTCCATGTACTATCTAAAAAGCAGCCCATGTTTTTATATTCCTAACAGAACCAAACAGGGTGTAATGGTCAATGGTACACATGAACCTACATGGAGACAATAAAACATTTAAAATCAGTACTGTATATTTTGACCTCACACTAAGGCTTTCAGTAGACTAGTGAAATTTGCAAAAGAGGGTCTCAGTGCTAAGCTGAAATATACAGTATCCTTTATTCGAGTTGTTTCCTAGTATGAGTTCAAATTTAACATGCCATCACACACAGTAAAACAAATGCCTATAAACTATACTGTACTTAACATTGTTTAGCTGTCTCTGAATGACTATTTGCCTTTCTAGCTGAAATTTACAAGAGCACTAATTTTTATGAGAAATTAACTTATGTTCTGCCAATCAAACTTTCTGGCTTCTAATGAATGAATAGCAGAGATTATGGAACTAGATCAGATGAGCATTCATATACCAAGACAAACCTAGAACTACAGTCATTAAATTTGCATTAATAATTTTCTTCTGCTTACCTAGGAAATCATGCTAAGAAAGTAGCAAATTATAATTTAATATGGTATCAAAATAAATAAGTTAATGAGAAAACTTACTAAAAACTGTATCAATGAAAGGCTTTAAACTTTTCTCATAGAACAGGCTATAATCTCCTGGCCATTACAGAGGCGTTATGAAAACTAGGGAGGCAAAGATGCTTAGTTAGTAGACATGGCACCACTTGTGACTAAAAACTAAACATTCATTGAAGAGCCTAAATTAAACCTAGTTTCATAATTAAACTAATTCTAATCATATATCCAATTTAAGTACACAAAATAATGTATCTGAGAAAAACAAAGACATTAAGCTTGAAAAAAATGAAAAGGCCAAAAAATGGGCAAAGTGCAAGGGAGTTTAAATGTCTGAGGTTCAACAGTATATGGGAGGGATGTTATGTGATGACTACAACCACCAATGAGAAAATACGTAGATGGAGTCTTGCTCAATGGATCACAGCCTGCCGTGTAGGAAACCCTCCATTTGCAGATTGTAATGATGAGAAACTTCTTCCATAGGGCAGTATTTGTACTGAGAACAGCAACTGAGGAAGCAACTATGCTGCTAAGGCAATAACAGTCACTTCTGACTGCCGTGCTCACTGAAGTACGTATTCAAAGACTGGTCTCTTGAAGGTCAAGTGCTGACATTTCAGTCTTACCCCAACTGGTTCTGAAGACTTGTATGTGTAGGAAGATGTAAAATGCTGAGATTTTCCTTAATGGATGTCCTTTCTGGTGCTTGCACAACAGGAGGACTGGCGTACAACTGCAGCATGGTAACGAGTAAGTATTCACTCGCACATCCTTTACAGATGTATGATTTTGAACATACAATAAAGATCTTCCACTGACAATACAAAGGCATTCCTGAATGGGAATACCCTATCTGAAGACATCTAAGCACTGGTACGGAAACAGCACTAATGTTGCTTGAGGTTGATATAATGCACAAATGTTTCGGGTGCATATGATAAGACCCACTACAAACTTATGCTTGTAGAAGTTGCACAATTCATAATTATTTCAGTAACAAAATAATTCAGGAATAATGTGAAGACATATCACACTATCTGAATGAGAGGTGTTGACTTCAAATATAACAGCAGGCATTGTGTGTATCACCAAACACATCCACACAATGTATCAGATGAAGTCCAATTTGTTTGCCAAGTGAAGTATTGTGTAAAAAGATGGAAGGTTTATGCTGTCAGCAAGTCAACATGCTTATCCTGATGACCTAGCATAAACAAATCTTGACTGTTTCCAAGGTTGTTTGAGAGAGCCAATGTTCTCCAATAAACATTACAGCTGACACTTCTATTCAGCCCAGGTTTTGCGTGTTTGATGACTGAGGATCCCTGTTGCACTTTGAAGCTGAGGTTCTCTGATGTTCTACATGAAACTTCTGAGCCTTGAGAAAGATGATCTATGTTATGGCTCAGGCCCAGAATCCGAAGTGCTGACTAGAATTCAACCATGGCCAAAGGCTTCTGTCCACTACCAAGCCAAGGTAAGATGAAAACAGAAGTTTGGGGTCAGTGGTTGGCTTTGTGGACCATGGACCCATCAAAGACAGGAGACATACGGCGTAAGCTGGCTAGTTCCTGTGAGAGGTGGTGAGAAGAGGGTGATGTTTGGGATCGGCTGGGAAGATAGTAGGCCATGTATCAAGTAACCCCAATGAGGCCCACCAAAGGCAACTGCCCGTCAGATTGTGGGGCTGCCCACAAGGGTGCCCCCTGGGGTAGACTGCTAGGGGGGCAACACGTGACCACGGGGGACAACCCTTCCCCGGCTGGGGTGGAGGGCAGAGCCACACCGTATATTGTTGGGCAATTGGGCATGGCTGGCCACATGGCAACCTCCTGGGAACAGAATAGTTTATTACTCAATCTGAACATAATTCATAATGTCCACAAATAGTCCTCCTCACCTTAATTCTACTAATCATGACTAGTGGAGCATGATACTGGATTTACATTTATAACCACCCATTGTAAAATTTCACTCAAATAAAAAAAAAATCATAGAAGTCAGTCATACAAGAGACTCCCTGACCAGTCAGTATTAACAATCTGACATTTTTATCAAACAAAAACATGAAGTCCGAGACAAGATTTTCTTCATATTTTATAAATTTGACCTTCAGTCATTGGCCTACTGCATAAATGCTTTGGAATTATTTTATCTGCTTCGAAGAATAATCAACTATGCCTTTTTGAGTGTAATGCTGATTTATTTCATATGATGTATTTAAACAGCATACATATATTTATTTCAATCTTCCTACCTTTACCTTCACGTATTACTGAGCTTCCATGGTATAAATTAGTGTACCATAGTTCCCCTTACCATACTTACCTGAAGAGGTCGCCAAATCACAAAAAATTCTTCTAGAATTTAGATAATTCTTTCTTTTATAATGAAAAATAACTAACGACATCACATGTTAGACCCAACAATAATGCTGCTGCACAATCACATAAAGCAACTATGAGAGCGAAAGCTGAACATTTGGCAACGAATCATGTCCTCAATATGCTTATCCTTTACAACTGTATGATAGTAAAGTCATCTGCTTCACCAATACAGTCGAACCTCATTTATCCAATGTTCTGTAAATTGAAAACGCATAACTAAAAATACAAAGGGTTCTACCAATGTCCCTCTAACCCAGGGGTCAGCAACCCCTGGCCTGTGGACCAAATCTGGCCCGCGTGAGGTTTTCGTCCAGCCCGCCAACTTAACACCTGAACACTAATTAGTATCGAATACAGATGCAGTAGTTCACTTCAAGGTTAAGCAGTCCCTGGAAAAGTTACTTCGTATTCTCCCTCTCAAGAGTTTTTCATTGGAGTTTGTCGTCTGGTGATAAAACAACTGTACAGTAGGTACAGTTGACCTCCAGATTAAGATATTATCGGATTAAGTAATAATCGGATTAAGTAACGTTTTTGTGTCAAAATATTGGCTCAGTTAACCCTTTCGGGGTCCAGAGGCCAAATTTCAAAGTGCAACCAGGGTCCAAGAATTTTAAAAAAATAATTTTGTAAGTTTTTCTTATGAAATGCTAGAGAATCTTTTTCTGAAGGTAATAAAACAAAAAGTACGAAATTTGATGGAAAATTGACGAAATTATACTCACGAATTTTGATGTCAGCGATATTTACGTATTGGCGATTTTGCCGACTTTGACTCCCATTTTAGGCCAATTACATTATTCCAGTCGACCAAATTCTTAGCTATTTCACTAGTATTACTTCTATTCTATCGACTGAGCACAAGAAATTGCCAAGTCAACTGTTTCAACTAAAAAAAAAGTGATCAGAAATTAGTAATTTGTCCAATTTAATACAGAGTTCAAAATATCCTAATTTCAAAATAAGGTCCAGAATAAACAATGCAGGCATTCCTGGCACTAAACTAACAATTCCTCTGTTCATTAGTTATGTTTTCAGGTTTAACAAATGAATTCCATTTTGATTTTTTATTCACATAATGAATTCTTATTCAAACCAAAATATAGAAAATTTACTGTTATGCAATATTGTAATAATTGTATGAATAATATCACCACATTTGTGAATGTATATTAGACCCACCAGCTGGCGTGTATTAGACGTGCGAGGTCATTTTTTTACTCTTGAACATCGGCAAAAATTGAACATTTCTGCGTCTTTGAGCTCAAGTTTCAAGCGATTTCCATTACCAAAACCAATCAAAATCTTCTCTATTTCTGTAATACATCTTCCATTCTATGAAATGGGACCAAGAAATCGCAAATACAACTATAAAAAACATACAAAAAACACTGCAAAGTCGGTTTTAATAAAAAATTACGGTCTCAGTTTTTTTTCTCATTATGCACTGTGTGCTGCAAGATTTGTTTTATGTGGTGCACACATACCACATAGATGTATTCTCTCATATCTAGGCCCAAATTTACCACTCACAGCTCATCAGAGTGAGCTGAGCTCATGGCGTAGATCTACGGTTTGGACCCTCAATGTATAGCCATAGATCTATGGCACGGACCCTGAAAGGGTTAATGATGCTGAACTCTGTTGAAGTCATTCGTCCCGAACGTGTCCGCATGCCGTGAGCTGCCCAGACACTCGTGTACAGCCAGTGTGCCACTGTTTACCAGCCAGTGAGGACAATTCCACGTGTACATGCAATACATTTTGCATTACAGTGGACCCTCAAGTTTAGAACTGCTCCCAACTCGACATATTATGCAAGTGTATTTTTGCAAGTGCTTTTGTAAGTATTTTTGTGGGTCTGAAACAGATTAATCTAATTTACATTATTCCTGATGAGAAGAAATTCGTTCGGTCACAGCACTTGAACAGCCGTCTGGAAGGAAATAAGTTCGAAACTCGAGGGTCCACTGTATTCCATTGTTTTTAGTGCTTGTAACTACTAAATAAGCCACCATGGGCCCAAAGAAAGCCTCTGTGCCAGCCCTTTGGTAGAGGGTGAGAAACACTATAGAATTCAAGAAAGTTTGTAGAAAGATATGAAAGTGGTGGTGATAGAGGGTGGTACACCAGCCAGGGTGTTTCCACACACACACACACACACACACACACACACACACACACAACACACACACACCACACAAGCCAGTAACTGGCTTCTCGAATTCAACCCAGCCAAATGCAAAGTCATGAAGATTGGGGAGGGGCAAAGAAGACCACAGACAGAGTATAGGCTAGGTGGACAAAGACTACAGACCTCACTCAGGGAGAAAGACCTTGGGGTGTCCATAACACCGAGCACATCACCGGAGGCACACATCAACCAAATAACTGCTGCAGCATACGGGCGCCTGGCAAACCTGAGAATAGCGTTCCGATACCTTAATAAGGAATCGTTCAAGACACTGTACACTGTGTATGTTAGGCCCATACTGGAGTATGCAGCACCAGTCTGGAACCCACACCTGGTCAAGCACGTCAAGAAGTTAGAGAAAGTACAAAGGTTTGCAACAAGGCTAGTCCCAGAGCTCAAGGGAATGTCGTATGAGGAAAGGTTAAGGGAAATCAGACTGATGACACTGGAGGACAGAAGGGTCAGGGGAGACATGATAATGACATACAAGATACTGCGGGGAATAGACAAGGTGGACAGAGATAGGATGTTCCAGAGAGGGGACACAGGGACAAGGGGTCACAACTGGAAGCTGAAGACTCAGACGAGTCACAGGGACGTTAGGAAGTATTTCTTCAGTCATAGAGTTGTCAGGAAGTGGAATAGCCTAGCAAGTGAAGTAGTGGAGGCAGGAACCATACATAGTTTTAAGAAGAGGTATGATACAGCTCAGGAAGCAGAGAGAGGACCTAGTAGCGATCAGTGAAGAGGCGGGGCCAGGAGCTGAGTCTCGACCCCTGCAACCACAATTAGGTGAGTACAATTAGGTGAGTATACACACACACACACACACACACACACACACACCAGCCAGGGTACTTCCCCCCTCCACACTAGCCAGGATACTTCCCCCTCCACACACACACACCAGCCAGGGCACTTTATTTATTTATTTATTTATTTATTTTATGTCTTTGCAAACAGTACACTGAGATTTTGTATTTACAATAGTGGGTTGCAATGCAAAGAGAGCCTCTATTATGCCTAGACATTATGGGCCAACTTAACATTATTGGCTTACAGACTACTTCCCCCCCCCCCACACCAGCCGGGTACGACCTCCCCCACACACCACCTGCCAGGGTACTTCCCCTCACACACACCAGCCAGGGTACTTCCCCCACACACACACACCAGCCAGAGTACTTCCCCACACACACCAGCAGGGTACTTACCCCACACACACACACACACACACCAGCCACAGTACTTCCCCCCCCACACACCAGCTACGGGTACTTCCCCCACTCACAGCCAGGGTATTCCCCCCTACATCACCAGTCCAGGGTATCTTCCCCCACACAAGCCGGGGTACTTCCCCCACACTAGCCATGGTACTTCCCCCCCCAACACACCAGCCAGGGTACTTCCCTACACACACACACCCCAGCACAAGCTACTTCCCCCACACACACCCAGCCCAGGGTACTTACCCCACACACACACATGCCAGGGTACTAACCACCACACACACACACCAGCAGGGTACTTCCCCCACTCACCCCAAGCCAGGGTACTACCCCCCACACACACACAGCCAGGGTACCTCCACCACTCACACACACACACACAGCCTGGGGATACTTCCCCCCCACACACACCAGCCAGGGTACTTTCCCCCCCCACTAGCCTGGGTACCTTCCCCCACACACACTAGCCAGGGTACTTCCCCCACACGCACTTAGCCAGTGGTACTTCCCCCCCCCACACACTAGCCAGGGTACGTCCCCCCACACACACCCCAGCCGGGTACTTCCCCCCACCACAACCCGCTAGGGTACTTCCCCCCCCACACACACCCCAGCCAGGGTACTTACCCACACTAGCCATGGTACTTCCCCCCCCCACACACACAGCCAGGTACTTATCCTACACACACACACCCAGCCAAGGGTTATCCCCCCCACACACACCCCAGCCAGGGTACTTACCCACACACACACAAGCCAGGGTACTTACCCCACACACACACACCGCAGGGTACTTACCCCCCCCACACCCACACAGACAGGGTACCTCCCCACACACACACACACACCACACACCACACCAGCCAGGGTACTCCCCCCCACACACCACCAGGGTACGTACCCCCCCCCACACACACACCAGCCAGGGTATACCTCCCCCAAACACACACCCCACCACACCACACACAAACCAGCCTGGGTACTTCCCCCCCACACACACCAGCCAGGGGTACTTCCCCCCCCACTAGCCAGGGTACTTCC